AACATTCCCTGACAATATGTTCTGCCAAACCTTCCCAGCTTGCTCATTTAATTAGTACATATTATAAAAAATTCAGTGTCAGCTACGGCTCCATCAAAATATGAAAATTTAATGGATTCCTTCTAAATATATACCGCAAATGGCATATTATATGAAAAAAAAAGTAATTTAAGACATTTTATAATTCACATTTATATACCACTTTTCATCTTACCTCTTCTCCAGACAGATAGTAGGCTGAGAGCAGTCCACCAACAAAGCGTATATTTACTTCAAAAACAGAAATTTCAGCATTCTATGGAAACAAAATAAGGAAGTTCAAACATAATGATAGCACATAATTCAGAAAACTACTGTCGTGATAAACTATACTAAATACTTAAATTTTGTTTAAATTTTACATGCTTGCCCAGAAAGATTTAAATACAAGGGGGAAAAGTTTTCCCTTTTGATATCAAAACATCACTATGTATGCCATAAATATATGCAACTATTATGTGTCAATTTAAAAAAAGAAAAAACATACTTAAATAGATAATAATATTGCCTCTTAAAATCAAAATTGTAAACATATTTATAAAATAAAGTTCTTTCTCTCTATTCCATAGCAGATACTAAAACTATGTATGCTCTATTTGTGGAAACGCGACAGGGCCAGAGCATTTTTTTTTCTTATGCTGCCATTCTCCTTCATTTTGTTCATTTGCCTGCTTTTTCTTCCTGAAAGGCCATTTGGACCATACTTTGGCTGGTAGCTCACCATCAGTCTATTAGTCTTTTCATATCATGTTACAGTAGCGCAGCTAGAATGCAAATAGGGTTTAGAGTCAGAGGACTTGGGTTCTAGTGCTGGTTCCCCAATTTTTGCCCGTGGCTTGGGATAATCACATGTCACCAAGAAGTGCATATTATAACATCTTTGCATAAAGGACATAATAATAATAATATATGTTATACTTTGCTGAAACTTGCTTTTATTATTATTTATAGTGTGCCAGGTGCTGTGCTAATGTGTTTACATAGACTGTCTTTTCATCCTCGCATTGATCTTACAAAGTAATTACTATTCTTATGTCCATTTTACAGATGGAAAAACTGAGACTTACAGTGGTTAATGTGACTTTTTGAAGATCAGACAACTAATAAGTAGTAGAATCAGGATTTGAACTTGAGTACTCTGATTCCCAGTCTAGGGATCTGCTATTCTGACTTTTATATAATACCTCACATGATAATACCACCAAGTCTCCTTATTAATGGTCCTGTAATAGTGGAACATATATAGTAATTAATGCCAATACTTTTCTTTTATAATATTTGACTACTAAATGGATCTGTCTTGCATTGTTACTAGATAATTCAGCATAGCTAACCTAAGATTGTAGGTTATAAGTACACTTCAAGCATTAGTTAGCTTCTTTTCATGTTCATTGGGCCTACTCAGTAATTGTTCATTTTTGGCTACCATCGAACCATTCACTAATAATCATGGGAGCTAACAGCAAACTATAATATAGAGTCAGTATCTGGCAAATGAACTTAGTCAAAATCATCTGAGGTATTATTTCCTTTAACAAACACTGATTAAGCAACTACTATGTGCCAGACCCTGTCCTAGGTGAAAAGAACATAATGATAAAGATTGGTAAGTTCCTCAGATTCACTGAGTCTACATTTTTTGTGGGAGACAGTATTTCCAGAAAAAAAGGAGATATATATTCAATTTATTCTCACATGCTCTCTCTAAAAAGGTATAAGGATCTAACAATTAAAGCTAAGTAATTGCTTAAGTTAAAAAAATATAAAAAAATTTCCAGTAAAAGGAAGATTATGAAAACAAGGAGAGAGAATTACTAAGTCAAAGTTAGGAAAAAGCATCACAAAATAAGACTTTGGTGAGTTTAATTGTATTCCATAATTTGTAACATGCATCTAATATAATTTGATTAAAAGTACTTTACATAGGTGTAATTTATCTCAGTTGTATTACTCTGAATATTATATAAATATTGGTAAAAACTTTAATATTCTACAAAATTACTGGTAAGGAAAAGGGAAGAGAATCCATTAATTTAGTTTGGTTCACAAAACTATATTTCTTATGTCTAAGAGTAATAATGTCTAATAATAAAATATAATAAATTTAAACCCTCAAATCTTATTTCTCTCAATTTATACTTGTGTTTTTCAGTTTTTCAACCTGAGAATCCCCCACATTTTGTCTACTGAAGTCTGTTAACATGATTTTATATTCTTATTCAGCTTTGGGTTCATTACATATGCATTCTCTCTCTCTTCCGCGAAAATTTTGGATAATCAGGACCTTTATATAGACATCTGATAAAAATTATTGCGAGTTATAGGACTGAGTCATGTCAAATACCACCAGAAACATATCTTCAGGTAGACATCAATCACCTATTTGGTGCAGTTATTCAACCAGCTGTTGATCCAGCTATGTATCCTACAATCTAAACTCTATTTATCTCATTCTGCCTGTAAGATACTGAGATGACCTTGCAAGGTACTATACTCAAGGTCAGTTGCTATGACTTTGGATTTCATGGATCTAATAGCCTAATGAGCCTGTCCAAGAAGCAAATCTGGCTTATTAATGAATTCATTCAGGTTTCCAGTGATTGCTGTGTCCTTGTCTTCAAATATCTTGCTCAGGAACGGCATGACACCGCCATCAGTTCTCAACAGTTGACATTTTCTGTTTGAAAACCAGAACTACATTTGAATTTCCAACATATAATTCTTTCTGCCTCCTTTTTTCCAAGTTAAATTTAAATTATTTAGAAACCTTAATTTGAGAGCTCTTTCAATAGTCTAGGTTATATTATGTGTTCAACCAGAAGATTGAAATTGAGATATTTTAGGTGATCACTCTTTATAGAGCTTTAAATGAAAAGGCTTAAGAAGATAAAAATTCTCCCACCATACCAAATTGTTTGGCTATATTGGGACAGCAGAGTATAAAAACACTGGCCTAGGGTGAGAAGGACCTGGAACTGAAGGCAGGTTCAGGAGCTACCTGAGTGTGAGATCTCAGTAACTCACTTATTCTCTGAGTTTTGGTTTTATCATTTGTAAAAAGAGACACTGCATTCCTTACAAGGTACTACGAATCCATGTATATGAAGCACTGTGCACAATACCTGGCCCATGTAAGGTACTCAGTAGACAGTGCTGCCACTACCACTGGGCAGCAGCTCAGCCTAAAGAAACTAAGGCCTACCTTCCCAGGGTTATTTGAAAATCAGAAGCTCGAGAATCATAATATTTATCTGCTCTGACCCTCATGGGGGTCATATTTCTCAATGGCTAAAAATTCTCTTTTGAAATACGGTATCCTGACCAACTTCCTTCTAGGCTTTACATGACGGCAAGATTTTCAAAAGTGAATTTCTACAATCTAAGGGTTTTAGGCCATTTTTATAAACTTCTGATTCCAATTTCCACTAAAATAATCATATTAAATTTAAATGAATACATTCATCCTATTAATATTCATGCAGTACCTTTTAAGATGTTCTAAAAGTTGCCCACTGACTCACCCTAATGAGGAAGTTTGGGCAGGGATAAGACCGTATATAGACGGACCCTGTAACACTAAAATCTTGTGACATTTATCCTATCAATTATGTGAATTTTGCAGTCTTCTTCATCTGTGTTTGTTATAAAATTAAATTAACTTCCCCCTTAAATCTTTAAGTAAGACAGCATTCCAGGAATATGCCATGTATTCAGTGGCTTCTAATATACAGTTTTATAGGAGTGCCAGTTTAAGAAGTAGATCCAGATTTTGCTTTAAATTACATGCACCTATTAGCTAACGTCACACTTGATGAGCAAGCGGAGGTTGAAAACTTTGGGCTAAAGACCTACCCCCATAAAAATCTGGATTGGTGAAACTGTTTTTTCATTTTGATTTTCTTCTAGCAATGGCTATTGAATCAAAGATCATATTACTACTTAACCAGATTCATCTATAAATTTAATAAAATACATGGTATGCCTAAATTTATACCTAAAATCAAGAGGTGAGTATTACAAATCATGATAAAACTAGGCCTTAATACTAATCTCTATTATTA